CCAGTCAAACAGGTACCTACCCACCTGCAATGTCGTGCTACCACATGTGAATGGCACGTGCCAGGAACTAGCGCAGACGTATTACAATGCAGACGCGATCAGAGCCGCTCGACTAATCGTATCTGCTTTTCTTTGTCTCTATCTCTGTCTCTACAGAAATCATCTCGTCGTACCTCATCTCTCCTCCTCCTGGTATCCTCGTACCGTCGATACCGTGTTCGCCTTAAGTCAATTCTCTGATCAATCGGGCCGCTCCACAGCTCAGAAAACTCATGGTATCTGAAAAGGGTCAGTGGGTGTTGCGGCTCTCTGTTTCAAGTCCGTGGGCAAGGAATCTATAACACTTGTTCCTCGGGCAGTAGGGAAATGAGCAGCCGTACCTCGCACAGTGCAGTAAACTGCGGCCTCGTACTGAATCACTGACTGCGGCTTGCTCCAAATCTCATGAAACTTCCTGCATCTGTCGCTGAGCTGACGGTGGTACAGATCTCTCACATGCCTGAACACTGGCAGTGGAACTCATCCCCAGGTTGATCTCAGCATTGGTCTTCCCCTGGAATTTCGTCTTCTGCTGGTCCGATCCACACTACTCCGCTTCAGATCCCTCTAAAAAAGAAACCACAGCCAATAGGTACCTTTCGAATTCCCCGGGACACTGCAATGCTGGTCAAACAATCTTTTCTACCAGCTCATGATGCCAGATCCTCAAGCAGCCTGGGGTCGCCACAGCCCCTTATTGGAACAACGGAGGCTGTCAGCTTGAAACAGTCTGCAAGTGTCTGTCCTACCTCTTCCTCTTTGGCTACGCCGACCCATCTTTCTCTGCGCATCACCCATAACATGTGCTATTCGCATGTAGCCAACGTGCATCATGGACTCTCTGAAGGTACTGGAGGGCTGCGCTATGTTGCTGCTAGGCATCGATACACTGGAATTCTGCCGGAGGATCCATAACTTTTCACACTGCACAATTCAAAAGAAATGATACACACATGCAATGATGTTATGCAATGAGCTTCTTACAGCTACCACATGGTCTAACCCAACTCTCAATCCAAAACCTACAACTTCTGGGTAACAATCCATTCTTCCAATAACACTGCGCGGAGCTGATACCAACAAACTTTGTCCACGCCCCAAGATCTAACTGTGAAAGAAAAGTCAATCTATTTCTCAAAAGAGAATTTACCAAGGTTATCTAAACGCTTCAATTAAACAGTCCATCAACATCTATAATAAATTTAAAAACATCAATATACAGTCGATTCATATTCTCAAAAGGTCATGTAACAATACTTAGGACTACACTACATCACCAGTGTTAAACTGAAATCTATCATGAGATACAAAAGAATCAAAAAATCCATCAGAAAGATAAAAACCATGTAGACGGATCAATTCCTATCTTCTGATCCCTTGCCGCTGACCTGAAAATATCAAACGCACATAGTAATCTGAGCTTTACAAGCCCAGCAGGTCACCTAAACCTAATAACTGAAATCAAAAGCACGGTTTATGCTATCGATATGCATGTTAGGATGCAATCAAAATCCATATCAGGCAATGGGTCAAGTGAGTCTAGATGCATACGGAAATTCATAGTCATAAACCAAGTCAATGCAAGCGGCCAGGCGAGATCAGATAAAATCAATTCAAATACCATGTCAATCTCGAAGAAAATCCGTACACAATAGGACTTATCAATATCGCGCAATCAAGTCGCTATCAATAAATCAATCGGCCGTAGAGTCGAGATACTATCTATTCAATGGGAAATCAAATGAGGAAGGGGGGGAGCAAGTACCGATAAAGCTCAATGCGTATTCTAACTAGTGAAGTCCAAGCAGGCAGTCATATATACGGTGGCAGAAACGGTAACAAACAGTGGAAATCTAACTGCAAGATCATATCCCAATAGCAGTAGTAAAACAATGAATCTTATAGCAGAAAATCATGAAGTCTGATAGCAACAGTCAATGAATCGTACTATTCTGTCCAAGCTACATGACAATAATCTATATGCCATCCATTCTATATCAAATGCTCATATCGAATGCAAGCCAGACAAATCAACAGTGAAATCAATGAAATCGTACGATCTAGTAAATCCAGGAATCAATGTAGATAGAAGAGGAATCTATAAAACAATGAATTATAAATCAATCACAGTAAACATGCCATTCCATACAGATGGTCTTGACTCCGATCAAGCGCACAAACACTAGTCATGGGACAATAGTGCTGTTGTAGAATCCAAATAGTGCTGTTGTAGATATCCCATACGGTTGTTCACATCAAATAAAAGTCGGTCACTCTTTTTGGCCCGTGCGGAGCCGCCTGTCGGCATGATAACTCCTTATGACTCCCCAATGTTATATATTCAATTATCAATGGTTTTTAAAGGAAAGCCCCGTCGGCCCACCATCCTGTACAGGTCAATCTAGTCTCCAACCAACGTTCAAGGGGGGGCCAGGTTTCCCACTTGTGATCAGTATCAATCATTCAAGTCAAATGCAATGCATATAATCGATGCAATAGAGCAATATTAAAAGAAATCGCTAGAAAACAATCATATCAATAGTCATACCGCATACAAATTCAATCTATCAAATCCGAGAAAATCAGAAATCAATACGAAGAATCGGGCAGAGTAAACGATAGTCTGTTCAAATTTTTACACAAAAATCTGCAGAACACAATATGCACCAAAATTTCTGTCCCCAAAGTGTAGCAGTAGAATTAATCCAAGACATCAAATACAAGACTATTAATCTATAGAAATCCAAATCAAATCAAGTTCCTGATATTTTTCTATTCGATTAAAATGCGACGTAGAATCAATTCCGACGGCAGTGAAAGGAATCTTCATAGAAAAATAGTCAAATCGTGTACATTAGGTCAAATCTATAACATACCAAGAAGTTGTGCGGTTGAAAAGTTGTGTCAAATCCAAATCATGTTCAAAATTCGTACTACGGAAAACGACAAACAATGCCAGCAGACTCGGTCAAAAACACAATATCTTTGAAACAGAGAATAGCGCATTCGGAGTCCTTACCGGGGACGAGATCTTACTTTTCCCAAAGACGGCGTCGGACGAAAAAGCGCTCCAGCGGCCGTCTCCGAACTCAAGTTTTCCTCTTCTTCCCGTTTCTCTTTCTCTCTCCTCAAATCAGATATTGTAGTTTAAAATGATTGTTCCTCTGCTCCTGTCAAAATGAGCTGATTGTATCTTATAGTCATTATGGCTGAATCCGCGGCCTCGGCTAGACCGTTGCGATCCGGCCGGATGCCAGGAATATCAACCAGATAATCGAGTCGTCCCATAATCGTCCTGGAGGCGTTCCAAAATATTGCTCAAGGGCCGATAATTGTTGAAACAGCTAAGATGGATCAGCCTGACGATTGACTCCACTATCCCGGAGCACGATCTGGTAGGTAAAATTCCAAGTTAGAGAGGAACAGTAGAGGAACGAGGTCTCATATCTCACGTCTTTCGGTTTTTGTGTACTCACTAGGTATGTAACCGAGGTGCACGCAAATGATGGTGACAACGGTTCTGAGTCA